GTGAGGGCCTGGGGGCGTGGCTCTGTGAAAATAAGCCTCAGTTACCTTTTATCCACTAAATAGTATTTACAGAATTGACACGCCTTTCCTAGGTCTGTGATCGAGGTTGTTGCCCCCTGCTGTCCACTATGGGAACTGCAGCCACCTTTGGCCTTTCTAGCTCACACTGGGAGGAGCCCAGGTCATTCTAAGGTGTCCCAACTTGATGTCCACCAAGTCCTTTGGTTTCTGGAGCTGGACCTTGTGCAGCCCACCTGTAATTCCAGTTCTTGGCAGTTCCATCCCAGTGCTGGAGATGATATGCATGGGCCATGTCCTAGTGTTCCCAAATACGCTAGCGTCAAACACTGACGTTTTCTCCTGCTACTCTGGTCATCAGGTTTTCTGAGTTTCTCTGTCTCCTCCTGGCTGATAGTGCCTATAACACGGTGTCTCCCCAGAGCCTGTCCACCCTCCTATAAATTCCAACCTCTGTCTGACTCATAACTGGCCTCCATGTAAACACTGTCCATGACTGTTCTGCCGTAACCTCTTTGGACTATATATACATAGAGAATACATCTTCGGGTGTGGTGTCTCAGCCCTTAATTTCATCATTCAGGAGGTAGAGCCAAGTGGATCTTTGTGAGTTCAAGGCCAGCCTGGGCTACATAGTAAGACTTTGTCTAAAGCAAAAACTGAGAGAGGTGGGAGAGATGTATCTGTCCAGATTCAATGAAGTTTTATATAAAAATGTTTTCCTGGTTATTTATTCTGTTTGCACAGGCACACATGTATGTGTCATAGGAACCATGTGGAGATAAGCGAGCAGACATGTTGCAGGACTTTGTGTCCTCCTTCCACGGTGTAAATTCTGGAGATCAAAATCAGGCCGTCATGTTTGGCAGGAAGAACTTTCACCCCCTAAGCACTTACCAGGTCAGACACAATTTTTTAATTTGAGACAGAGTCTTGCTATGCATCCCAAGCTAGCCTGCTCATCATATTCCTGCCTCATTCCCCCTCTCCTACATCCCTGCTGGGATGACAGGTGCCCACAATGATGGCAGGCTGAACATAATTTAAAAAAAAATCAATAAAGTTGTTAGCTATAGGCAAAGTTTTCCTGTCCCGACCACCTCTCCCCAATATTCAACATAGAGACTTACAATTATTTATGAATGATAGGCTAATACTTGTTGATAACTAGCTCTTATAACTTATGTTTGGGTTTTTTGTTGTTTTGTTTTGTTTTTGTTTTTGTTTTTCGAGGCAGGGTTTTTCCATGTAGCTTAGCCCGTCCTGGAACTAGCTCTTGTAGACCAGGCTGGTCTTGAACTCACAGAGATCCACCTGTGGCTGCCTCGAAAGTGCTGAGATTAAAGGCATGTGCCGACACTGTCCAGCTAATTTAATCCAATTCTATTAATCTATGTGCTGCCTTGAGGCTCATGGCTTTTACCTCTATCCCATTTTGTTGTGTCTGACTTGTTCTCCCTCTGGCTGGTGACTCCACCTGTCCTCATCCCATCATTCTCAGTTTGGCTCTCCTGCCTAACTGTATCCTGTTTAGCTATTGGCCAGTCAGCTTGTTCATTAAACCAATCATAGTGACATATATATTCACACAGTGAATTATTCCACAGCAATTAGCCAGGTGTGGTGGCATACACTTTTAATCCCAGCATTCAGGGAGCAGAGGTAGGAGGATCTGAGTTTGAGACCAGCCTGGTCTGCAGAGTGAGTTCCAGGATAGCCAGGGTTACACAGAGAGTTCTAAGGCTACACAGAGAAACCCTGTCTCAAAAATAAAATAAAAAATCTAAAGTTGTTTGAATTTTACTATATTTGAAGGAGCCAAGAGGCCAATGACTGAGGCCTTTGGCCCTCAGCACTGGGGTCTTTACATGGAAAGGAAGGACGCCAGGGCCCTGTGTACACAGAGGACACAAGGAAAAGGAGGATGAATTAGAGGCCAGCTTGAGCTACACAGTGACATCCAAGACTGAAAATGTGAGTTTGATCCCCAAGCTCCACATGGTAGAAGGAGAGACTGGATTCTCCCAAGTTGTCCTCTGATCAAGGCACACATGTGTGGGTGTGCACACACCAACATGCATGCACATACACACACACACACAGACACACACACATATACACACACACACACATACAGAGACACACAGACACATACACACACACATACAGAGACACACAGACAGAGACACACACATATATATACACACACAGAGAGAGAGACACACACACATATATATATATACATACAGAGAGACACACAGACACATATATACGCACACACATACAGAGACACACAGACACACACACATATATACACACATACATACATACATACATACATACATACA